GTTACCCCTAAAATGTTCAGATTTTGTTCTGCTTAATTAAATTTCGATTTATAAACTTAAATTAGCGAAACAACCTGCTATTTTATAAGAATAACCTCGGTTAGCGTATAAGGCTTTGTATATGCTGGGTTCTTGTAGTTGTACGGCAAGAAGTTCATCAATGATCTCTCTTTGAAGTATTTAACATGTTTAATTTGTTCGTAGAGTTTTATTGGTTAAAGATGTATAAATACACATCATGCAGGCATGATGATCATGATGAACAGGCGAGAGCGATGCTGATCGGGAACACAGTATGCAGAGGCAGTACTGGCGCGCGCATGCGGTACGTAGCGATCATGAACAAATCGTGCTGTTGATCGGCCTTTCTTTTTTTATTCATAAACTAAACATACAATAAGCAGACTGAATAAGTAATTGGCAGTGACGAGTTGGATTTTGGAGCAATGGACAGATAGCTTGACTGTGTTGAAGTTTTTTAAACCTCAAACTTAAGTAGGTGTTTTTCGTTTTTAAATTCAGGCCTAAGAGATTGTTAATCGCCGCTTTTGACTCTCATATCAGTCTAGTTTATTTTTTAAAAAATTATCTAGCCAGCACTTTCTGGAAAAGTTCTCCATCTCTAAAAATATGTATATCTAAAAATATGTAACAAATCAACAGGTATTAGTAAATTGCTAGCAACAGAAATGTGCCAAAGCCTTGCCAATACGCTCTCCCCTTGACACGGAACTGCCGGGTCCCTTAACTTCTATCGAATTTTGTGGACACCTTTTGTCCGTCATTTTAAGTCCACCTATTAACACATAATACATGCTCAAAAATGGCCAGAACTTGTACAAATCGTGAATTTTAACTTTCCTGTACTGGCCAAAGTAGACTCAGCTTGCGTGCAGGTAACTAGGCCAACTGTCACCAACACACGCCACAGCCCCGCCCCCGGCCTGATGTTGTGTGTACTCGGCATGGAGATCAATGGTACTCGTGGCTGAGAACCACCGTACCGTTGTGCGATGAGCATTTTCGAAACCAGTGGATTCGTTTAGACTTCAGTTTCACTGGCTCCAGTCAGAAAATGTAGTTTCGATGTGCATGTACGGGGCTCGGAATCTCATACGCTGAATAGTTGCGCATGCACACTTTATGAACTGCACTGAAGAACGGCTGAAAACAGTCCGCAACAACGGCAAGAATTAATGTTACGTTCAACTTTATTTTCCCGTTTTTGTCTTTGGTGGTGATATGTCGAATTTCTTAACCCACCTAACATGGAGATAAGGATGCATAGGAGTTACAGACGTGAAATTGGCTCCTTGGAAAAGGTAAAAACATGGCAAATTTTAGTTACAAAAGTTTTTGCCCGATTTTGCACCCTTTATACCCTGGACGCCCTCCGTAACACAGTACAGTCAAGGAGTCCACCTAGGCTAAGTGTAAATCACCTTCATACAAGTAGAATCTTGATTTGGTTGGCATTTACGTGTATTTCACATGTAAATTCTTCCAACAAAAACATTTGTTTTGATGTGCACACCTCGGTGTTGAGTTGGTATTGTCATTTTGCTTTGCTTCTTTTTTGTCAGTTATACTGGTTGACATATACAAATATCCCACAAACACACAGAAATGTTGAAATGCTACGAGGGCTGCAGAAGAGCTACAAGTAGGGGAAATAGGACAATCAACTACCTGTGTAGATGAACTTAGAGTCTACAGTACGCATGTATGCTATGGTCTACATGTATGCACCTGCAGCCATGATCTCAATCAACTCCTTGGACTTTGGCTGTGTGTACTTTAAACTATTGACAGTCAGTTGACGGTGCGTGACCGATACCGGGGAAAACACTAGTTCGTGATGTAAAGAATGCAGAACGAGAGGAAAAAACACACCGCAACCAGTTGAATAAATAGTCTCCATACCGCTTCATTTAAACATTTCGAAAAAATGCTGAACAGTACACACCACATAGCGCACTACAGGCGATAAGATGCCACTCTCTTTGTTAATGCCCAAACAGATCACTGCCATTTCATCAACAGATCTGTATGTATGAACAGTTCAAGAATGTCTTTTATTCTCAGCGTTTTATATTTTCTGACCCAAATTTTATAAATCATGAACATCACCGGGGGTATTATTGGACAATTAATTAAAGGTACTGGTACATGTACCGTACATGTAAGCCCATGTACGGTACATGTACATGTAAGCCCATCCAGTCCCATAGCCAGGCTCTTCTGGGGGGGGGACTCCCAAAGAGATTCTGTGTATCATGTTAAGATTTAAACCAACACAAGTTGACATTGTTTCAAACTCTCCATCCTCAGGTACAGTCATTCAGTGTCTGGACCCTTTTATGATTCTGATTGTACAGGTTTAAATGCGCGGCACGACCTACGGTAGGATATTCTTCCTTAAAAAGGTACTTCTTCTGTTTCAGTGACAAAATACATGTACACGTAGTATACAATTTATAAACGGTAATTCCAGAAATGAGGGGTCCATTTTTTCCCTGTTCCTGTCACATCTGACATATGGTTTTGTAAGTTCAGAACACATTTTCTAATTTCCAAGAGTGATGAATTGGGGCAAAATACCTGCCAAACAAAAAGAAATACATGTACGTGTAGTTTGAAATCAATGCCGGTGATATTTCCATGTCAAATAACAAAGGTCAGACGTAACAGGGACACGAAAATGTCACACTTTTGGACTCCTGCATTGTAATTACCTAAATACCAAATAAGAAAAGACCAAAATTCATATCGGTACATGGATAAGCTGGTAGATCATAGGCAGTTTCGTGCCATACTGCACCACTTGTCAATAAACAGTTCATTCACGGCTTTTTTTTTTATTAATCTCTGGGCACAGAAACCTGTTCTGAATTTCGACAGAATTGACGAGAGCAATATTGCATCAATCATGAGGAATTGATTCCCAGACCAAACCATGCATGTACCGCTACATGTTTACGTGCAAAATGTATACCGATGCTGTCTAGACCTTCAGGGTGCATGGATGTCGGGGGGGGGGGAAAGACAAGGGAGGTGCTTATCTCCCTCCCCTCAAAAAAAGAGAAAAATTCGAAAAGGAAACAAAGGACAAACCAACGCCATGAATAAAGAGATGGAAAGGGAGGAAAATCACAAATATGCTTGGAATTGTTTGTTAATGGTTCATCAGTTCTTGCCGTTGAGTGCTTTGCTTCTCCTCCCCCTGGAAAATCCTGCCAATGCTCACGTCAAGATGACTTGATGGATAACAAACAACTTAACACAAAGAGTTCTATGTACATTGTACGGACAACACTTGATGTCCCTATGCACAAATCTATGTGACACTTGTATGAAAAAAAGTGTTTTTTAAGTCAATGCTTTGGAATTTTCCTTTCACTTTTTAGGACATCGAATCACTATCTGACGGATGCTATAACATTTTAATGGAAAATTAGTGTTGTCCATACAACTCTTTGACTAAAATAAGACTAAATTCAAATGACAATCACGATAGATCTGAAGCACAGTTGCCAGTTCTGTCACCTCACAAAATATGGGATCTATACCTGCCGCATGTATACTATATTCATGCACAAACTTGGTACTCGATAAGAATTCCTCCAGAATTCTCCGTCATGGAGATTTACAAGGTGGCACATTTATGTACACATGTACCATACATGTAAATTTTACAAAAATTAGGAAAAGAGTTTTGTATCCCACCATGACAATTCTTGAGTTTTCTAAACACTAACAAATGTGAATTAAAGACAACTTCCACAATTTCAGTTTTTCCCAATAAAGTTGAGAAGACCTACATGTAGGCTAGACCGACATGTATCTAATGATTGACATCAACATAAACACAATTGTCCAATGGGTGAGGTTGAGCCTGGGGCAGCCCCACACGTAGGGCTGTGGTGGCTCTCTTTTACAATCTGTCTCTTATCTGTTGCCACCACAACCTTGCATGTACTTCAAGGCATGTCTTAAAAGCCTGAAATCCAAACTGCAGGATTTTCACAAACTTTGAATAATGATGATATCTTCCGAAATGAGAATGACTCGACAATTTTACTCACACCGGCGTATTCCTCAGAGTTTGGACTTTTATATGAGCACCCTAAAGCTTTCCCAAACCGTACATTTTCCGATATACATGTATGGCACCTTGAAAACCCGGCCTGTGATATTTCTGTGCTGACCATGGGCGGCGCCATTTTGAAAAACAAAAGCAGCGCTTCTTGCGCCAGAAGTCAAGGCACCCGACAGGTGCCGAGATGCATAATTCATGTTGTCACAGTATTGCTTAGTAATAAGTTGCGCACACTTTGTAGTGTACAGTAGGCCCGCAGCACGTGTACAGTGACATGTATTACTGTATATTAATGTTATTCCAATTTAATTTCACCGGTTCCTTGTTCATCTGTCACGCAAGGTGTGACGGGGAACCAGTTTTGTATGATACAACCTATACCAGAGCACCTGTTGGAAAAAATGTTGCCTTTTGTTTTGTCTTTTTCCCACTCCGGGAAAACAGCAAAAACAGGCAACATTAGATCATTCAATAAATGGTTTTTAGAAAGCAGAAAGGTCAAGGATCATGTTTGTGTGCAAAAGAAATTGCGCCCACGATGATAAGTGGGTCCGCAGAAATGTTCAATACGTCGACACGAAATTGCGTATACGGATGTGTGGCTAAGGATGGATCGGGAGTGAGAGTCCATGCCACACTAGTGCGGCTATAATTGCCTCAACAAAAAAACTTTCATGTCACCATGAAGAGAACGCGTTAAAAGTGTCATCTTATGTCTAGCTCAAATACGGTCGATACAACGTAAAAGTACAATGTACGTGTAGCCTAACCTAATACTAATTCATAGGCCTGCGCCTCCTGAAGGCATGGCAGGCGCACCAACAGGCATGACAGGGACAGGAATCGAATTGGAGGTAGATTTTCCAATGAAAATAAAACTTAAAGTAAAACCAGCACTTACAATAAGTACAGTCCTGCAAATCCTTGATTTCGGTGGGGCTGAGCTTACTGGAATTCTTCCCCATGGTAACGTGGACAAAGTTCCTTCAGACTGTGGTGTTTCTCAAAGCATAATTTGACCCAGCCTCTCCGGTGGCCGTGTCTAGAAACATGACAACAATCACACACGTCCCGTCGCATCGGTCGCCATGTTATTCTGTCTCAAGGCAATGTCATTTTCACAACGTGGTGGCGCTATTCAAGATTAACGGTGGTCAAATTTTGTCACCGGCTCCATGCGATAATGCACACCGATCTCTATTAAGATTATGCCCAAACCGTACCATTCCCAAACGAATCAACCGGATTCATTTTTAACTGGGCATATAGTTAATTTGCGCCAAAGACACTGGGGAGGGAAGTTTGCATTTAAATGGAAAAATAGTTTGGTTTTAATTAATGTGAAGCACTCTGCACGGCAGTGTTGAATCATGAGGGAACAAACTTAAAATCAAGCTACATAAAGTTAAAGTGACTGTCGAGTTTTGCCTCGAATCTCGTCTGTACCTAGGCTCTTCGACCTGTTTGCCAATCGACTGGTCTTCAGTTATTATGGGTTTGATCGGAAAAAAGGCTTTAGTATGCTTTGCTTGCCTTTTCCAAACTAAGCTTTTTTTATGATAACGAATAATTGTCAGAGTTTGATATTCCTTGTGGATCTGCGACCTGGATTAGTTTTGAAAAGTTTTGGGGAATGCATGAAGGCTTCTTATCACCGTCTCACTGGATTCACTCTAGAGGGCGCTACTTCTCTACCTGGGATTTTTTTTAATCAAGCGAAGCAGGCCGGCGCGGCGGCCGCCGTTGTCGGCGCGTCAGCTGTTGGCTGACAAGACAAACAAGCCGCGCGAGGAGGGAGTCTTGACATGCCAGTGGTGACCCCACCCGAGTGAAAATTTCCGGAAATTTCGAAGCTCTAGATATTGCTCTTCATATCCGGAGGATTTTTATGCACGGATCAGTGGAGTTGACATTGAAAATGTGAGTAAGGTTCTTGTGAAGTTCTGTTTGCTTCAGCTGCAGAATCATGATACATGACGATGCAATTCCTTCCTGGACCATGGGCCAGGCAGGTGGCCGGCCAACATTAGCCTGAGTTGGGAGGGGCCGCGACCAGTCGAAGTACACTCAAATCAAGGCAATGGACTGGGAGTCGCCATACATTACATTTAATGTCTTTAAATGGGGAGTCGGATTGACGTCGTGGTTCTTTCCTCACCTTTCACCTCTGCTGTCTGGGTTCGAATCCTGGCCTGGCCCAGTCCACATGTGGATTGGGTTTTCAGTCCCTACCTGATTCCGTGGGTTTTACCCAGAATATTCCTCAAGGGTTTTCCTCCCACCTCTAAAACTGTAACTGCTTCTCATTGTCTCCTCTCTGCAGATTTCTTCAGGCTTGTGAGCTACAGTGCCTGGGGCACTTTTGAGGAATCCTTGGGGTCATTACTAGAAATATATAATAATAAAATAATAATAATATTGGGGAAGCAATTTAAACTGGTTGTTGATGCTGAGGTAAGAGTTTCATGTGGGAAATTAATCATCAGAAAGTGATAACATGTCCTTCCTCTAGTAGGCCTATAGTAAGAAGTTAAATTTAGCAGTGAAAATATTGAAGCATTTAATTTTCAGGTTATTCTCCTAGGGTTTATGCAGAGGATAAGAAGTGATGTCTATGTGTACAACTCTTCCCACTGCTAACATCCATTTATTAAATAATGATTTTTCTCACCATGCAGATCAGAGTCGCCATGTTTGCTCCAACTCAGAACCACATCTTCCACAGTGGTTTACACCACGAGGTGCTGCGGACATGGCAGTCTGGCAACGTCCACATTGATCCTTCTAACTTGATCTATCCAATTTTTATCACGTAAGCTGCAACCTGAAATTTGATTTGTCAATGCAATACCCGTGACACGTCAACCGACAGAATGTCTAAACTTACTGCAATATGTCATCAATTCCTACATACCCCACTCACCCTATAATGTCTAGTGTATAGAATTGTCTAGTCTACATTTTTTTTTCTAGTATTCTCTCTGCGTTCTTATTTTGCCGGTATGTTCAATCATATCCATTGTTTATCCACAGTGATAATGAAAATGCAGTGGAACCAATAGACAGCCTGCCTGGTCAGTCGCGATACGGTGTTAACCGGCTGGTGGAATTGTTGGAACCGCTGGTGAAGATGGGACTAAAATCTGTCCTATTGTTTGGCGTTCCTACAAATATGCCAAAGGTAAGACCACGATAGTTTGATTTCTTAGCGGTAGAATATCTGTCAGACCGCTGTTATGACAAGCTTAAATGACGGTGGTTAGTACAATAGCGTTGGCTTTGAGGCCAGTGCAACTCGTCCATGGTGACTTGACTTGACAACTCACCACGGTCTCAATCTCTGCTTGAGTGAATGAGTTACAGTTTTGTTCAAGCGAGAAGATGTTCACTAATATTGCCGGCAGTTGCACAACTGACGTGCACTTCCACTCTTCTTGTGTCAGTACCGCTAGATTATGCAGACTGCATGCTAAGGTTTCGCAGAGAATGTTATGCAGTCCATCGGTACCCTCCTCTGGCTTTTCTAGGACAGCCAAAACAGCGCCCTCAACAATCCTCCCCGAGCCAATCGCAGTTAGAGCTGCCAGCAGATCTGCTTTTCATTCAGTTTAAGCCAGTCCCTTCAATCTATTTGTAAAGTCAATTTTTTTTGTACTTTCAATTTAGGATAGCCGAGGTCATAAGGCTGACACGAAAGATTCTCCCGTGGTCCAAGGCATCAAGAAGATTCGCAGCAGCTTCCCAAGTCTTCTGGTGTGCTGCGACGTCTGCCTGTGCGCCTACACGGACCATGGCCACTGTGGTACGTGCAACAGTTTGAGTTCCAACAATTTGATGTGCCTTGCATCTCGGGAACCAAGATCTAAGTTCTGAAAAGTGAAAAGCAAGATTTCGGTGCAAGAAAACCCTCACAGGCTGCAGATGATGTGAAGATCATGTGATGGGGGTTTAATAAAGCTCTGCCCCTTTTCTGTGTAGGGTTCGAGAGGGGGCGGGGCTTCTTACCTACCCTCTCCATGCCTGAAAAGGAGATGGTACATGTATTTTTACTTAGCAACAATGTCTCTCTGATGGAGATGTGTGGCATGTGCACATAGGTTCATGTGTGTTTGGCGTGGGACGCGCTGAGACCTACATGTCCTGTCTCTTCCTGTGTGCCAGGCACTCGATTGAAATGGTCCGTACCACTGGATGCTGTGATCATGTGACCAGATTCATCTAAATATGAATAGATGAGATAATCGAGTGGCAGTAACACATTCTCCGGACGGAAGTGGAATTTTCATTTCATCCTGAAAGATTTCATTGATCCTTCCACTCCTTGTTGCAGCTTACTCACTTTCAAACCAAAGTTCGGAGTCTGATTTTGATATTTCTCTGTCTGATTTTATTCCTGTTTTGCTAGGGATATTGATGCCCGATGGAAGTATTGACAACAAGGCCAGCATCTCGCGGCTGTCAGAAGTGGCCTTGGCCTATGCAGTGGCCGGTAAATGCCTTTCTCAAGGCTAATTTTCTTTTAAAACAAGCTCAGTAATTGACTGCTCTTGATTCTTTTTCAGGCCTGTAACTCAAAAGTGTCTCTGGCGACTTGTGACTCATTTCGTTTTGATTGGATTTATTATTGTCACATATGCAGTATAAAATATACCGTATAGTAAAAATCCATCCGAGTGGGCCACATGTCAAACTATTCTTACATAAAATGTTGGGTTGTCTGTTGTTTAGAAATTATTTATTACTTCACAAGAGTCACATGAGAACTCGTCTTCTTTGCAGGATGCCACGTGGTAGCACCTTCCGACATGATGGACGGTCGCGTCGGTGCGATCAAACAAACTCTGATACGCAATCAACTCCAAGGCAAGGTAAGCACGCCCAAGAAGCTTTCGTTGCTAGAAACTGCAGTACCAGCATCTAATTTGAGTTCAGCGTTTACTGCAAATGATCACCTAGTCTGTCCTGATCTCATCTCTTGCCCAGCTCACAAAACTCACATTGCAGCAGCTATCTAAATCACGCCCTTGTGCGGGGCAGGGAACAATCTATGACTTTTCACAAAGTAGTGCGTAGTTGTGATAAGGTGAGTGTGAAGATTACCTGAGTCCAGAACTGACGAAGTGGGTTTAAACCTACAGCCAGTTTCCTGGAGAGTGCCGCTAGTTAGCTTGTTTTTGCTTAGCAAACAAATTTGCTGAGTGCAATATTCACCCAAAAGGCTCTACAGAAATGGGCCATGACTCAACCTAACCTGTTAAGCGTCATCCAAAGTGGATTGAACCACACCTGGACCAGAATAATGTATGTTCTCTACAGTGCTCGACAGCACTGCCATCGGTGGCTCATACACCAAGCACAGAATGACCAGTAGCATGTATTTTACATTACATCTGAAGCCATAAGCGACTGCAGTGTGGCATCAAATCACAAACATCCCCTCCAAACCTGTCCAGGATTTTCACCCGCAAACTTTCAACTCGCAGGTTGCAGTCATGAGCTACAGTGCCAAGTTTGCTTCTAGTTTCTACGGACCGTTCCGGAGCGCTGCCAAATCGGCCCCCACATTTGGCGACCGGAAGTGCTACCAGCTGCCCCCTGGGTCCAAGGGACTGGCCAGCCGAGCTGTGGTAAATGCAGGGTTCTTCCAAGTCAAAAGTGTGAACCCCCCTCAATCTTTTCTCCCGAGCCGAGCTTTATGCAATAAGTGAGACACATCTGCTGCTTATGCAGATGCATCCTGCCCGCTGATGATGCAGCAGAATGGGCCAGTAGACTTTTTGCATGCAACACCTGCGTCAGGGATGTATTTTGTTGTTTTAGTTTGGTAACACAGGAAAGATCGAAGCATCTTTCTGTGAGTACAAGCGTGCTTCTCAAAGATGGCCACAGGGATTAGGATTTTGCAGCAGATGTAGCCTGAACCCTTGCTTTAATCTGAAACTCTCAACGAGCCGAGACTCATAAAGTCCAAGCATAAGCCTCAAAAGCCACTGTGACGTTGAAAAGGACTTTTGAAATTCGAATCATATCAGTCACAGGAATGAGCTGACAGAGAACAGCAAGAGATAAAGTTATCTGTCTTACTTATAATCTTCTTGGTAGAAGGCAAGACGGTATGGTCTTACTGATGTTGTTTTGCCTCTTTCAGGAGCGAGACGTAGCTGAAGGTGCTGACATTCTGATGGTTAAACCAGGAATGCCATACCTGGACATCATCAAACAGACAAAAGACAAGGTAGGACAGAGCCTGAGTCATGTTGAAATGTCTTTTCTTTGGTGTCTCACAATGAAAGAATACGAGATGCCAAACCGGATGCAAAGCAGTGTAGTAATGGAGTCTATCACAAAGTCCTCACAATCCATCACACTAGTTCAACACGTGTCCTCACTAGTCCAACATGTGTCCTCACAAGTTGGGCAGAAGTCCTTACAAGTCCCCTGAAGTCCATCCAGTGCCAACTGAAGCTATGAAAAAGAGCCGGGAAAGGCATTTCTGTCCCTGTTCATCAGCATTGTGGCCTGGCGTGTGTCTGACTTGTGATGGGCTCGACCAGCACCCTGACACAACCACTGTAGAAATATAAATTCAAAGCAAATCAAGAAGCTTGAAGGGAAGGTTGTCATAAGACGGCCCACTCAAGTCTAACACATATAGCCCACATTACAGGATAGGTCATTTCCACTACATCACTACACCTTGGTTGGGTCAGTTTTGGGGCCAACGGCCAGAGCAAAGTCCACTTTCATCAAAGCTGTCCGTTTGCTGCTGCTGATCAAATAAGAGACCCCCATATCATTTGGGAAGTGTGCTTCTCCTATTGCCCCAGTATCCCGAGATCCCGCTGGCTGTGTACCACGTGTCCGGAGAGTACGCTATGCTGTATCACGCAAGCCAAGCAGGAGCAATGGATCTGAGATCGGCTGTCCAGGAATCCCTCACAGCAATGAGACGAGCAGGTAACCACTCTTTGGAATACCATTTCCTCAAAATTTCCCCACCCAGTAAACATGGCTTATACCACAAGCTATGCAAACATGAATGGGCTACCTATATCCATTTGAGTAACCTGATGGGTTAAATCATGGACTGTTTCCTGAGCCTCCGATGGTGGACGTGTGTATATACGGCTAATCCCTTATCTGTTTTTTGAGGTCACGAGAAATGTTGTACAAATATTGAACGACTTTCAACAGGTATTTTTGGCGTTTGGCTGTCAAGATGACTGTCAAAAGTTGGATGATTTATATCTTGCCTTTTGTCAACTTTTTGGCCACAAAATGCCATCGAGAAGTGGTCTCGGTCTCCATCACCGCAGTTTCTTTGCGTGTCATTGACAGAACGTTTCCTTCTTTCAATGGATAGCGTGCCTGTCTGTCATAGGTTACTCCCTCATTGCATTCCTCCTCCGTGGATTGAAACGAGAGAAGGAATAAACCGCCTCTTATATGGACACAGGAGAAAGGCCAGTGGCTGGACTCGAACCCACGACCCTGTTGTCTACTCACATAGTTCAACCGAGATGGTATCTAGATTAGACATGTAAAAAACTATACAGCATGGTATTCATGGACAGAAATGAAAGTCAAGAAGATTCTCCAGGCGGTGATTTCAATAAGCAGAATCATTTTATTTTTCAAGTTTACCAACTCTGCTTTTTTTCTTTGTAGGTGCGGACATCATCATTACATACTATGTCCCGCACCTTCTGAACTGGATGGCATCTTAAAACGGAAAGAAAACTGGAACAAGATTAAGTCTGACAAGAACAAGCCCATCTCACACCTGTTAGTCTTCAGCCGTAAATCGTAAACCTCAAATTGTAATCGTGTATCAAAATACAAAAACTTGATTCTACACACTACATGTACTTCCCAAAGCCAGTCATTTGAGAGTATTTGTAAAGCTGATCCGAGTGATGCATGTCAGCATAGTTGTTTGTCATAATACCACAGATCTGACTACGCCTCCATGTCTTGCCAGTGTTTCACCCTACTTGTTATGTGAACATTTCTCAAAGTTTCAGAAGTAACCGACAGATGCAATATACCATGTTGAAATCTCACCAGCCATCTGTTTCTGGGCTAGGGTGCAACGTACGCCTTTGAATGGGAAAGTGGGCCCGGTGGTATTCTGTGGCATCGCTAAGCACTTTCTCTCTTCAAATGCCAAAAAGCTTACCTTTTTGGCATCGTGATAAGTACATGTAAATGTTGCTTGCAGCAGGGTGTAAGAAATCTTGAGGTATTTGCTAGGTTAAGCATTCCAAAACACTTCTGAGGTATGTCGTCCGGGGAAATGCCATGAAATTTCGTCTAGCCCGTTCCAATGAGAGACACTAGTTTTGAGACATTGAAACCTACAATCGAGAAATGGTTCCAGTACATTGCACACTTAATCATTTTGCAGCATAATACAGCAATAAAAGAATGGCTTCTAACAAAGGAGTGTAATCCATTCCATGTTGACCTTTCGTCGATAAACATTTAGGAACTTAATTTACAATCCATTCTTTTTAAACTCGGTCCAATATCAACAATACTTTTTGGTTATATGTCATGGCTTTCTTATCCATACCTGTGATATACTAGACTGTAGACCAGGGCCCAATTTCACGGAGCTGTCCAACAGCAGAAAAGTAGTGCTTACTATAGCACTATTTCACGGCGGTGCTTGGCGTGGTTGTGCTAAAGGTTGCGCGCACATAGAGATTTCTGTTGTTACGTCACCAAGTTTAAGCAGTTTGCCTCCCAAGGTTAACACGCCTTTGGCTGCACTTACTGCTTAGTGTCTCCGTGAAACACGTGGAGCGTCTGTTACCGTGAATCGTGTGCTAAGCAGGGCCATGAAATTGGGCCCCACACTTAAAGTGACTGATCTGTGAAACACGTAGTACTACAGATTTAAAGGGATGAAGCAATTTTTAAATAAGGAAAGTGGAGTGACTTGGTGTTGCCTTACGTAATCTTTGCCAAAATATTTAAGCTTTTCTATACTTTTGTGTCAAGAAACAAGTTGTTAGGAAAATGTGGAATGCTCAGCCTTAAAAGGCCAACCGTGTTTTGTCATTTTGTGCATTCCAAGTTCAGTGTCACAGATTTGGTCTTCTATACGTGCTGACACATATTGAAGTAAAGTTTGTAGCTGCTGTGTGTGTGTGTGTCAAGGTCCTTTTAGGAAATAATCCAATTTTGATATTAGTTCCTGCAACAGATACGAATGAGTAGTTTATAATTATGGGCAGCAATATGTATTCAAAGTGTGGCAATGTACATTTTATGGACCTTTGTAAATGTATATGTTTCAAATGAGCATGCCTTCTTGAAAGGTTTTTCCTATTAGCGTACAAGTCAGAGTCTGAGCCGAGTTTCGTTCTCTTTGCATGCAGCTAAAAGTGACTGTGGTGGCTGTGGGCTTTTTCTGAAAGAAGTATTTTCAAGTGTTTTTTTCTGGAATGGAATAGTTGTCATGGCAGTGCCTTGCTTTGCCTGCCGTTTGAGCAGGATGTTGTGTGTGACATGAAGTGTACAAGTAGCTTGATTCGGAATTCAGTGAGGGAAGTACACTGCTGGCTAGGACCAGTTGTGCCCAAAGATCGTATAGCGCCGCGTTTGGTTCTGCCAGGGTTTCTAGTCTGACTTTGGAAATGCAGGGTTCAAAATCTATTTCAATTATCTTGCTTTTGGCTGACTGCTGGCTGCAGATTTATTTAGGGTGTGTCAAAGTTTGGTATTGCTTGTAAACTTTTAGTGGGTGGTGACATCTATCATATAGTTAAAGTAAATTTTGAAAGTCATTCTAAGGTTACAACTTATGGCAATAGTGATATTTTAAAAAGCATTTTAGATATGAAGTGCTCATCAATGCAGAAAGGGTCCTGTTGAGAATCCAATTTTATCAAGTCATAAATAAACATCCTTCTGTGGCTTTTTCGGGTGCTTTATCAATTTAACAATGGCAGACATCTTGTGAGAACAAAATCTATCCACATTGCCCACTCCATACGGTCTAAGCTTTTAAAAAATGTGAATGAAAGCCCAAGCTTTGAAAGCACCAGAAAGTTACCAAACAGAGTGACAAAGAAAACAGGAAACCAAAAAAGGATAATGATTTAAAAAGTGCAAAAGTTATGGATACATCAGTAATGAAATATACGGTAACACTTTATGTATAATTTCAAACTTTTGAGTTAATCATGTTTTCAAACAAACTGATTCACAATGGTTGGTGGCATGGATGTGAATAAATAATGGTTTGGATGGAGATGTCATTTGATGCGTATGACATGGTTTATATAAAATTCCCTAAAAATAAACCTTAAAAAAAAGTTCGAACATTGTGAAAATAAAGAAAATTTGGCCTGTTTGATTAGTATTAGCCAAAAACAGGTGTACCAACTGTTCAGATTTTTACAGTTTTAAGATTAGATCGGCCACACCATGCAACAAATACGGCCAATTAAAGCAAGTTGGAGAGAATAAAAGCTCTTTTCAAACTCACATCAAGAATCATTTAAATATGTACGTTAAAACCCTATGGACAATATGATACAATAAAATCCAATGTACATGTAAGATGACCAAATAATTTGCAGCAGTGGATGAGAACTTTAGGAAGAAAAAATATGTTAAACTTCAAGAGGCATTATTTAAGTGGCATGTCACAGCCAGACCTGTAGGTTTTAAGGTATCTGGTTTATTTGGATGTAGAGGGTCATGATGTTTATCTATTGCCGCCATCCCTGGATGCTAGGTGAAATCTGTGTTGGACAGATGCTAATTTTCAAGAATTTCTTCCATCATCACTATGGTAAACACTGCACACAGATTTTTCTGGGAGCTTGTGCAGAAAAAAGTCACAAGCTGGCTCTCAAGTAGGGAATCGAACCCGCAACCTTGCTGATTACAAGTGCTGTCTTACCCACTCGACCTCCACACTCGCAAGGGTCAGCTGTCCAGTTTGCATATCAAATTACAAAAGGAAGTACTGTTGCAGGTTTGAGATCTGTCCAAGTAAGCTTGCAAATACATGTAACTTCAGAGCAGTCCTTGTTAAATTATTAATGTACCTGCCTTGTACATGTATCATCTTCACTTTGGCATTATTAGCATGTAGGATTCAAGGATTTAAACGTCCTGAAAATCCATCGTTGTTCTTGTCAGAGGTCTCGGTTCACTTGTGCATTAAAATGATAAAATGAATACATCCAAACCTGGTTTTTTGTGAATTAAGTACACAAGATCTGATAACTATGGTTTTCATTACTGTAAACTAGCAGTGCCTACCAAAAGTTACGCTCACATAAATAATATTTACATATTGTTACTGCTTTAACTTGAACTCTGACAAATTCCTTAGTTCATGAATTGTCTCAAATCACTGCACGCTCAGCACCTTTTCAAGGCTGGGTGGAGTTGACTTGTGGATGCTTCTATCCCTGATGGGTTATGAGTGACAGCGCCCTCAAGAGACAGGAATGTGAAACATTGCTGTGTTGTGTGAGGTGAGACATGTGCCATCTGCATGCTCCCTTGACTCAGACGTGTGCTATCCAGTCCAGACTGGCAATGTGCCCTCCCACACAGATCTTGTAATTAGACCAAAGAGCGCCCTCTACCATCCCTGCACAGAGCCCTTGCACACAAATCCATGACAACGCACAAGCTCCTGAAAATCTGCTCTTCACTGGTCATCCCACCTTCAACTGAGCCAAAAAGTGCGCCACCATGCTGGCGTTGACAAACTCCCCGGCCGAAAACCTGGCCCGAATTGAAAACGCTTCGACTGCTTTCAAGTTGCAGGTTGCATGCTTGCAAGCATCTGGCCAGACCAGAACAGATGTTGGCCAAGGTTTTATTGCCTGCCACTAAATGACTTCTGGTTTATGGCAAACAGGCCTCTCCTTGTTGGTAACCTTGAAAGTCCACTTAGGGCGTCAGTCAACTTATCCTGCAGCTGCTGTTACTGCTCCGATGTCGTCACCTAACTGCTGTCCAGAGTCGGTCAATCTTTACCCAATCACGAATCAAGCAGCGTGGAAAAAAAATCCATGCATACCTCAATTTTACAACACCATACACAAACCGTGATGATGTAAACAAGATCGGTTAAAAACCCATGAAGAAAACCAATATGGTTGGGCCTTACACAGATGGAGAAATCAAACAGCACGGACTGTTTTTTTTTGTGGTAACCTACCGCTACATGTTTTGTTCACCTGAGGGAAGCCCGTGGTTGTCTCATCCAATTCCCACAGCTGCGTTTCACTGGCCCCTATTTACGGGTTGCTCGTTTCTTGACCATTCTGCATTAACCAACCAACTTGTAGCAAATGCTGCGACCCCCCCGGCAAGATGTGCACGGTGCAACTCTACAATCCATAGTTCAAACTCTCGGCATACCTGATGCCATATTAGCCTATTACAGTGACTACTCTCGTCACCCTCTGCATGACAGTGCATGGTACTCTCGACACAGGCAAGTAAGCTGCACCACGCAAACCACTCCAAAGACTTTCTTACACACAGATGTGATCTAGAATACAAAAAAACAACACTCAATGCCTGCATTGAAAAGTCCTCCGTGAAAGTTCCACCCTTTCGGTTTCGAATCCGGCGGTTTCTGTTCAGTCTGTTTCACTGACATCCAGAAAGAGCGGCCGGACATCCAGCATAGAGGCTAGCTCCAGCACGTGCTTATGCAGGGCCTTACACTCCAGGATATCGTGCCCACGCAGCTCGGGGTGAATCTGGGGGTAGAAGCTGTCGTCCTGCAGGAAAGCGGAGAAGCACAAAAAGACACTTTGACTTTTGGGGGTACTGATGCCTGTCGCTGTCTGCAGGCATGAAGTCAGGTCTCCAGTCAAGGTCAGACAAAAAGTGCTTGTGTCCCTAAGCAAGGCAGTTTGTAGCAATTGGTAACAATGTGCTTGTCTCCAGCAATCACACAAACCAACAGTGCTGGGAACCTGTCCTAAATATGACACTAGGCAAATTGGAAGCAACCTGATGCATGTTACAGGGGAAAAAGAACCATAAATTCTGGGACACACTGAACTCTCTCACACTGAAGAATGGAAAATGCAGTTGGCACTCGTAACTGAATTCCCCTGTCCAGCTAGCGGAGAGGGTCTTACCTTGAAACCTCGATGGTAGCGCAGAGCAGCAAAGCAGAAAATGAAGCGCAGGATGAGAAGCCTCAGGAACTCGTCGCCGTAGAACTGCATGAAGACGTGGTCTGTCGGGTAAAATCAGAACCAACATTTAGCCTGTATCTTTGTGTTCATTTTTTGCCACTTTGTGGCCTTAAGAGGTAGCAATCTTATTACGTTGCCGTCGTTCTGAGCACTGAATCATGCACATTACTCTCAGGGATTCAATTTTCCATACATTACTCTTGAAGATCAATTTTCTGTACAGTCCAACTTTTACATTAGACAGGATTTAAAGGCCTAGTGAATCATTTACACAGACGAGTGATAATGGAAAGTGGCATGCCGTGCAAATCGGCACATTTTACACACAAGGTGGAAAGTTGCCTCTTGTGTGTAAAGCATTACCCCGCGGGAAGCACTGACGGCACAACAGGAAGCTTTCATGCCGTGCCAGTCAAGACATGACATCATATGCAACGTGATTAGCCACAACATGCTGTCTCGAGACATATGTGAAAAACTGCCCTGGATTTCCCAACACTGAGGGTCGTCACCCTATCGGGAATTTTGTCTGCTCTCACGGACAAAAGCCCATAGACAACTACTGTATTTCACCAAGCCAAATGCCGTAAGCGCTCATCTATGTAAGTGCATCCTAACAATACAAAGATGTCCTTAGGGGCAAGGGTTATTTCTGTCATTTTTTCTTCCTGATGGACGGAGTAACAATCTCTCTTAAGACTGCTGATCCAACCCACCGATGGTCTTGGACTTGCTGATCCCGGCTGCCACCTCACCCAGAAGCTTGTTGACCATGGCCTGGCAGTTCTCCCACAGCTGCAAGGGCACATCGGCAATGTCGCAGATGTAGCAGAACGCCACCAGCGGGGAGTGCAGGAACATGGTGAAGAGGTTGCCCTTCTGCGGGGTCTGGTCCTGGATGGTGACGGGGAGGGAGACGGGCGACATGAGGCAGACCACGGGCTGGCCGAACAGGTTGGGGAAGTTCTGGACGGGAGTATGACAGAAAGGGAGATGAAACCGTTAGGTGATTCAAATCCATTTGCATACAAACGTTGCTGGTAGGTGACAACTATTTTGTGAGTTTGAGCGTGATGGCTGATTTGATGGAACACTGGATTGGCAGTCTAGCAGTTCACGCTCAGGTTTAGTTGAAAGTTGGCAGCTAATCTTACCTTGAATGCATGGCTGTTGGGGCTGTCGATCACCAGGAACAGCGGTTTTCGTGTGAATGGGTACAAATCACCTGGGTGTATACTGGAATGAAGAAATAAAAATTAACACTTGATAACTGCCCTAAATTCTACCTATGAATAAGCCTGTCCATGTCTGACACCTTTCAATACTTGTCTAAGACTTCCATAAGCTATGACAGACCCTTTCTAAGGATTTTCCTCCATGGTGAACAGGAGTCAATCAATAAAGTAACAGGATACTTCAACTTCAGCCACATATTTTCTTGTAAAGCATTTTTCAGCGAAGGAAATAAATACAGAGATTTTTAAAAAGGGACACCAAAGCCATCCAAACAGCCATCCATCATCTTTACTGCCAAAACTCTCACAGGATATTACGTTTGGCTGACATACCAATGCGTCTCCTTGAGCACGTTGGACCTCTTGATGAGCGGCTGGTCATTGCCCTCCCTTTTGTTGTTGGTGGCCACACCCCCCGAGTCAAAGGCCCCATCTTCTCCTTTGCTGAGACCCCCCGAGCCGTCCGCCGAGAGGTAGAGCAGCAGGGCTGCATTGGCTGGAAGCTCCTGATGAGGCACAACAAAAAAGACAGGAAAATCACAATCATGAAAAGAAATTGCTGGCAAATTCACGCTAATTTAGGATGGTCCTGTCTGTGATTTTTGAACAATTTCGTCAAACAAAAACAGAATTTGTTGTAAAAACCAAGCTCCTTTCAGACTGACGAGAAATGACAGTAAAAAGGCTTTAATTCCCAGTTTTGCCTCATGCACAAACTACAATTATGTGGCACTCCAGGCACAATTTTTCAAAAAACTAGTTCCTCTTTCAAAATTGCAGTACTTCTTTTCACATCAGTGGGCCTCTTCTCATCCAAAGCATGACCAGATGTCTCAAACAAAACTGAACAGGCAGCCAAGTAGAAATGGACAGAAAAAAAATCCCACTCTACAAAAACAAGCTGCAAATAAAGACTGAATCATTACTTCAAATTCAACAGGCTCTGCTGTCTTATTTAATGATTCCTTTTGCCCAACTGAAAATTTGTCAAACGGAGCCCGCCAGGCGGCACATTACCTGGCCTCCCTTCGGAACCAGGTTTACCATAATTTCATCAAGTCGAAATAGCCTGCATTGTTCCGCATGTTTTTGCAAGGGGGGGATCTTGCCAAGTGAAACGAATGGTGCTACAGACGCCCCGGGTCACCATCAAGAAGGTAGGACGCTCAGAAAGAAGCAGAACAAACAAATTAGCAGGAAACGTGTCTTGCTGCAGGGACCCATTCTCTCACAAACCAGCAGCTCGTTAGACATGGGGCTGACAAAACCACGTTCACCACTGATTTTCTCGTTTTTTCCTCGACGGATGACAGTTGGGGAAAAGGTTGGCAGCCCAGGAACAGTTCTTGTGACAAATAATGCGCATATTTTAATGCAGAGCTGCAGGATTTTTCAAAATTGTGGGGGTTTTCCATTGTGGTTTACCAACATTTTGCAAAGCCATGGCGCGGGGTTTGGGGCCCGCCCAAGGGGCCCCGAAAATGTTTGGACTTTAGATGCTCTCAGCTGCATTTTGGAGCATTTCCTGGGCTTTTCAAGTACTTTTTCTCCAGAAAAAACATAAGAGATTCAATATTTTTTTAAATTTTGGATATTTTAAAAACATGCAACAACATACAATGGCTGTTTTAATCAACGATTTAAACACCCGTTTATTCAGTTTTAATTTAATACATGCTCAACCCTTGGTTTTTGCTGATCAGACCTTCCTTCGCCTTCCGTGCACGTGCTGCAGGTGGCTGCTTCGTCTGCCTTTGGGTTTCCCTCTGCCCAGACTGCTGATGTTATTGGCTTAAAAAAGAGCCTATCTTTGATTGCGTTTCTGCCATTGTGCGTGAGACAAAGCGCCGTGATATGGCAAAGAAAAATATCGTCCCCGTCGTAGATGCCATTAGTACTGTTATACAGGGCTACGGCTGCCACCATAGAAAAAAACGTGTGTGGGGTCGATGTTGTAAGTTCTGCGAATGGTGTAGTATAAAATTGTACCCTTCATAAATGCAGCCCCGGTAGCATATTGAGCACACGGCACAGAGAAAACACATGCAGGTGGGTGCATGTACGACGCCCATGACGAAAGTTCAGATTTCATGCGACACCGACCACGAGGAACGTTCGGTGCCGATGTACTATGTACGGTGTGCAGTGTGGCCGCCGACGCGTGGTGCACAATGCATGTACTATGTAGGCTACCAATAGTCTGTACATGTACATGGAAACATGCAGGACTATTAACTGCTTTTTCATCTAGAGTTTCCGGACATGTAATCTGCATTATGTAAGATAATTCTGAGCCATACTATCATTATCATATTGTACATATCGGGGATGAAAAAATGGGTATGGACCCGTTTTTTTGCGTATTGGGCAGAAATAATTGCGTATCGGACCCGATACGTAAGTTTGTACGTGGGGAGAACCCTCCCAATGTAATGATCTCTTCCTTGAAAGAATCTTAACACAGACCCACCGAGAAACTTCACTGCTTGCCAGAGAACCACTTGCGTAAATCATGTATCTTCCTCAGGCTGGGTACCACGGCTTGATCACATTCTGCTTTAGAAGACCCGTGCAAATTTAGCAACAGACAAACTTTGTCTGCACTTCTTCTGGCCTGGCCAATCTTTGGCCTCTAATTAGCCACACAGAAACCTCAAAGTTGCTCCTAATGCGTTTCTCTTCAACACATATACGTTGCGACAAAAATTCCTCCTTGAAGAAGCTAGCAAATTAACAGGCTTCCAGCAATAAAGCGAGGTCTTTCCTTTAAAATGGAGTCCCACTTACATTTACATGCAGATGTATATTAGCTTGTCAACGAGAGTATCTAGTATCTTGATGAAAGCTGACAATTTCCTTAGGATACACTGCTGAATATCGAGATACCTTTCCCCAGTATTCAAAGAATACTGGTGTGAACAAGTTGATGAGTGGAGTGTGAATCAAATTGAGGTTTCCATTGGGAATAGAGCTGTTAGTTCCAGATTTTAATCACGTTAATGAGTCAGGGTAACTTATCAACCAAGATTCTCTTGGAATTTACATCTTGTACTGCAATTTGGTGGTTGTGGACATTTTTTTTTCATTTGGTGCAAATTATGACAGTAAAGCAGCATCTTCCATTGGTTAGACAATTCTAGTGCCAGCACAGCCAAGTGCGACTGGTGACCATCTGTTATCTGTCACAACTGATGTGTAAAATATACTCTGGGTACCAGGCAAAAATCCAGCAATATTGACTGATGGGGAGCTAGGTTGGCATCGCTGTTCTTTCCTCACCATTCACCTTGGGGCCCAGGTTTAATTCCCTCCCTAACAGTACCTAATTATGTGGGTTTTGCCCAGAGCATTCTGGGGTTTGCCTCCCACGTCTAAACCTGCAACTTGCTGCTCACTGTCTCCTCTCTACAGGTTGCTTCAGGCTTATCAGCTACAGTGCCCGGGGGGGGCCTAATTGAAGAATGCTTGATTTCATTACCAGAAATGCCTGCATATAGAACTGGCCCAGGCTGAACTGAAGTACAGGGGCAAGCCACAAGTCAAGTGTGACCTTACCTTGAATCCAGCGGACAGGAACGTGTAGAACTGGCTGAAGGTGGGCTTGTAGAGGAGGTACTTGTGAGGGTTGTCTCGCTTCAGTGGCTTGCTGTTATTATCCTGGGCGGCGGAGACAACAAACACAGGGAGGCTTGTCATTGAGGACATCCTTGTGAGGGATCACGGCCGGGTCACGATACCAAAAGGAGCTTCGGTCATTATCCCACGCTTATTTGCTGACCGCGACAGCAAGTCCTTTAGTTCTGCCTGCCTATCCACTGATCTGTTTGTCTCAGTTTGTCAGTTTTTCTCAGTTTGTCTCAGTTTTTGCACTCAGAGGTCTGCTTACTTGTAAAGTATCTGTCTGAATGAATTGGAAAAAGAACCCTACAAGACAAAATCAGCATTACCAGACGATCACGTGCCCAAATGCTGTGAAACAGGGACCTGTGTGACAAGCAGAAGTCGGTCTTTGGAAACCGTGACGCACTGCTAGACAGGACTTGCTTACATTGTGATGCTGCGGTGAGGTGATGTGGTCGTTGGACGAGGGCTCCCTCTCCAAAGTTTGCAGCATCCTGTACATGTCAAGGGTCAACTCGCTGAACTTCACCTGTACAAGGAGGTGCCAATCATCATACATCAATCTCCCCGGCGGCGTTGAGGAAGGCATTGATTTTTTGTCCCGACCCAGAGCGCTATAATGAGTAGCCTCTATAATAAGCTTACACAAGCTGGACATGTGTTGATGCCCAGCACTGCACTATGACTGTGAGTCACAGGGGAAAAAACCACTCCTAGGGCAATTGCAGATGTGGTTCAAATATCCATGTCACACTTGAGTATGCATAACCTGCAGAGCAGTACTCAAGTACATCACAAATAAATAGCAAATCAAATTACGTATCTGGTTGCAAATAAAAGCCAAACAACAACAATGAAAGCCACAGTTTATTGAAATGAATTGACTTTGAGTCCTGGTGACTTGAAATGGAATTGTGATTAACCTATGACTGCTTCTCAACCAGACTGCAAAACAATAACCAGGTTAACATAAAACTAACTGATTATTGGTTAATTATTAAAACCTGAAAAACACAACTTTACATGCATATCCCCCTTTACTTCAAGTCAAAATATGACTACAGGGGTGAAAAGATCCATAATGCTCACTTATTTTGTCAAACTTTAACTGAATCAAACCCAGTGCTTTAAAATTCTGTGTCACATTTACTTCAAAGTCCTTTAAGCACCTACACGAACTGATGAAAGATTCAAAGCCATAAATGTGAATGGCCTATATGTACATGAAGATTTATCTGTCCGTTTTACAGCCTCGCGTATAACTAATTAGCCCATAGCGTGTGCCCACCTGCTGTTGACAGTTGCCCACAATAAGCGCTTCCTGTAACGTGAGGTAGACAGGTGAGCTCGTGTCCAGGCCGGGCAGGACACCCGGGGCCAGTCTGTAGGTCAACGTCACCGCTCGCGAGTTGCTGTCCAACACGGTGATGATGTTGTCGGCCTGAAAGGGTAAAAATGTCAACTTATGACTAGATATCCATTACATTCACAGAACATGCATAAGGTGTCTATAAATTTCTGGGGGGGTGGACAGTGGTGCGTGAAGGGCTAGATTCCCACTTGGTAGAACACTAGAATGTATATGTAACTCAAGCGGTTCTAGGTTCAAATCTGGCTTGGGCACTCTTTTGCTTATCATGATAAGTGGACTCTCTATGGAAAACAAATCGGTCAAAAATTCAGGGGCAGCTTGGATGGGGATGAACCTGTCACCACTACATTGAATGTGCAGGCTGCACAAGTCAACAGGTATCATTGTGTACACGACAAATTTTACGCATGAATTTCCTCCACTTCAAGACTGTAAAGACGATCTTGGAGAACGAGTTTCAATTTTGCAGCTTTAATTCCCTGAAGGGAAAAAAGTCAAACTGTGTTCATAAAAAGTAAACTAAGAGGGCAAAAACCTTTCAGGCTCAACCAATTTAAAAAGGAGTAAAGTGGTCAGAAAACTAATACATTTCCATATCCCACATCCTTTAACAATTCCTTACAAAAATATCTCCGGGCAAATTCAAAAGAGAGAACCGATATGGTACTACATTTTCAAGCTTGTGTTGAAAGCGTTAGAAGAATTCAATATTTGGTGAAGTCAGGCGAGAGAAATACCTCAAACGAACACGCAGGGAGGGCAATATGATAACCCAGTTAGTCTAATTTTCCCCTTGGCTGTTCCTCGTTTTTTTTTTTTTCTTTTCCGCCCTCGGCAAGAGGGGAAAAAAATGTTCAGTTTGACACTGGGGAATTTACCTAACCGGGGTGGGGGATTTTTAATTCAATTGAAATGCTGTTTGTCAATAAATGAATCTGTCTCTCAAAGCCAAGCTGAGAGGACTGCCAAACACTTCAAAGGGAGAATTTGGGCAACGATACTGGATTGCTGTAAATTGTGGACATTGGCACTTGTCCAAGTTGGGGGGGAAGCCTGTGTTTTGTGGCACAGTGTTTTTGTATTTAAAAAGACTAGCTGACACACATACATTTACATCAAGCCGTGGCACTTTTCTCATGTGAGTAATGTTTAGCCCATGGAGATACCATGGTTCAAATTTTCACAAGACATATGGAGTCCATTTCTTGGGACAACTCGGCCTAGAGACTTCAAACCTCGAAGACATCGGCAGTGTATTACATTCTATCACTTCTTGATAGTTCTCACCCATGTGCACTTGCGTATCACGCACACCTCGCCTGTCGTTTTGCCTGTGAAATACAAGCAACAGAGAGAAACTACCCCCCCCTCCCCGTAAAGGTTATGCAAAGGAAAAAAAAAATGGAAGTACGTTGAGTTTACTCCAGAGGACATGTGCCAAATCCATCAGACGGAAATACATGTGCATGTACCATGCCTATTTATAACCAGGTTGTACATCTTTGGTATTCGCGGCTCGCAGGGAATACCTCAAAACAGAAAAATTGCCATGAAGGAAAAAGAACTAAGATTGACACAGTAACAATTGCGCCCCGGCTGGCAGTTGTATCTTCCTCCTCCATCCCCCCCCGATCAATAGACCTTTCCCAGTTCGTTCAAAGGTCACTTTCAACCCGGCAAGAGTAAAATACAACAAAAACAAAAAAACAACTTGAGATGGAAAGTCCTTGGCAGAAATGCAAAGACACGGCAGATCAATCAATGACTTCCCGGCTGCACTCTGGGTTGGAGTGTTATGGGAACCGTTGTCGGCTGGTGGCCCGTCGGAACCATCGGTGTGCCGACAGGCAGACAACATGAGCCCTTGAATAATCATTGCAGATTAGCTGGAATACGTGGATAAACATTTACCGTTACAGACAGAGGGATGGGGGACCTTGAACATTCTTCTTTAAAGAGGTACAACGAGCGAAGATGGGCTTACGGAGATGCAAAGTACTGCTGTTTGTGACTTCTGCTGGAAAAATGATTCAGACATCCTGTTGGAGGCTGATTTCTTGACTGGGCAAGGCCTGAAATAAAACCTTGGCTTGGAATGATGCAATTTTTGCCGACCTTGAGACCTGTGATCTGAAAGCTTTACTCCTGAGTAAACACCTCCAACACATGCAATCCTCAAACCTCTCTTATGATTTTGTACACACCCGAGGCGATTCCTGAGGTTAAAAACTGGAACATGTGCACGCAACTACAATGCCATTTATTAAATAGTGTTTCTTTGGGAAAAACGTCTCAAACAAAGAAGATCTGACCTAAAACCAATTTCAAACTTCCCACACAAGTCCTCATTTGCTGCCCCCAGACAGTGTAAATCTTAACAAAGTCACTGCCCAACAAAGATGATGTGAACATGCTTCTCTGTCCGGCAAACGTTTGTTCACAATCACACAATGCTGAACAATGCCGAACGTACAGTACATGAATAAACAGTACATACCGCAAGCCTGCAGGTACAGCGGTCATTCAAAGAAGTTTTTAGAAACAAGGGTCTGCAACCAGGCGTCTAATATTTTCTATCATTTTTTTTTTCCAACTTGAAGCACACGTATGTAAGCAGGGTACAGTGCTGTTTTGTGTACACAAAGTTTGTGAGGCACATTGCACTCCGTGCAAAATATGTTATGGCCTTGAGAGTCTGGGAGTATTGACTTCGAGTACCGACGACCAATTGCGCATTACAAGCAATTACAGTTGGGTATCGATTCAGAAAAGTGCTGTCTATTGACTGATGTGAGCACGGCTTCAATATCACGTCACAGGCAAAGGGTCTGCTCTGTCTCCCGGTGCAGAGAATCTGCTGCTACCATTGCGAGATTGGGATGTTCTGAAAGTTTCCTACTCCAAGACTAAAACTGGGTTTAGAAACGGGATTTTGTAGTTTGAGTCGAAGCAAAAACAATAAACCAGTAGCTGCCTGGCAGGCTGCCACGGAGGAATAGGCAGATTTTTAATGAGTGGATGGCGAACGAAGGACAAACTGGTGAATCAACGGAAGTGTCTCTGGGGGATTTGTCTTCTCTCATCCCTTGGGTATCCCCTCTCACCTCGGTGAAGGCCTCAATTTCTCCCAGTACCAGGGCCCACTCCATCTGATCCTCCGAATCATAGTGACCTTTGTATTCGTCCACATTCTTGCCGAGTTCCTGCCAGGAAAAAAAAAATCAAAATTACAGAAAAAAAAAACAAAAACCAAGAACCTCATCACCGACGAGCGGCAATTGCGGAAATTTTATCTTGCACGGGTAATTTGCATGTACATGCACATCTGTCTGCTCTGGGCAAAAGCAATCAGTGTTGTAATCATCTTCCTTGACAACTGAGACAGAGATTGTCACGTTAGCAGTTAAGTATGCACATATGTAATGACCGCAGGGTTCTTGAGCGATCTTCGTGAAGCATACTAATGAATTCCAAACCAAAAATATACACATTGATTTCACCGAGTCTTGGTCTCTTCTCCACTGTGATACAGGGAAAAATACTGATACGTAGAGACCGACTCGTCTGCGTGATGAATTTATGCACTAGACCGCTGCAACTGATTGTCATCACGGCCAATTTCAAACAAATTAGCGACGCCGCAGACTCTTTGTTTTCAAAGCAAACAACTCAGGGTGACTGGCGGTTGCGCGAATACCTCTGCCCCAAAAAAGCACGCAGCTCGAGAAACCGGGCAGAACTGCCAGCAGAAATGCTGGAGGTGAATACCTGGGCCCAGACAGTGGAAGTGCTCTGCAGAAAATGGCAACAAGTTCAGACATCTGGAAAAATACTCGAAAACCTAATAATAAAAGAGCCAAACGTATTTTTCTGCAGCCAGCAAAAAAGGTGACAGGATATTGGAGTGGACGGCACGTACTCTGGACAACTTGGAACTGCACAATATGTAGCCTGTGATCTAGTCTCCAAATTTGGAGGATTCACAATGTAAACACCAAAGAGGAATCTCGACCGCAGTTTTGAAAGATTTACTGTCTAAACTCACATGCTGGTACTGACAGGTGGAGAGGTTTTCATAAGATGAAGATGGTTGCTCTCTTTAAAAAAAAATCATTAATGACATTTCCTACTTCTGGCACAAACATACACGGTGTAAAAACTGGCTTCTGTCTGCAGTCTTTTTAGCTGTTTTTAGCTGCAGGCCAAAACAACCTTTTTTGTGCCTTGTTTGTACCAAGAAAATGGAACACTGTTTGATTAAAGCACACACGTTTACTGGGCTCTAAGTCTGGAGCTTTTTGACTCAGTAGGTTCGACCTTTCCTTTGCAGAAATCATTCATTTCTTGGCAAATTACAGTACAGTGAACATGTAAATCTAAGCAATGATGTTTCTACATCAAGGAGATGTTAGATCCCTCACTTTGGAGATTTCTTTTTCAGAATAAGAACATCAGATTGTATGGCTTGAAGCCAAACAAGTCACAGATGGGCTCTGTACATTCGGTCCAGAAATGAAGGACAAGCAGGTACTGTTTGTACAGTACATGTCCAGTGTTCTACTGCAACCGTTACATGTGATAATGGATTGGGGCCATTGTCTAAGCCACAAGATCTCAAAGGAAATTCAATCTCCTCTGACTCTTCACCATTTTTTTCTAGCACAGTAGTTTGTAGGCTGGAACCGGTTCTCACCTTGGTTAGCTCCTTAACGTGGTCTAGTTTCCGCAGCAGTAAGCAGACAACGATGAGCCGGGCATAGTAGCGCAGCTTCTTCACCATCAACTCGGGCCTGTATTGCGAAAAAGCGGAAAATGAGGAAGTTCATTCAAGACAACTGTACCATTCAAAGACGTTTCGGTACAGATCCGAAGATCATCATGGCCGATCAAGTGGCTGCGGCTAAGATTAACAGACAGATATAGGGCAAGTCATTTCATCTACTAGCCATTGGCTTCTGTAGGAGCACACCCGATAGCAGCCACAGCTTTAACTTTCAAACACAGCCTTAGTCAAAGACAAATTGTATCACATCACTGTCAAAGTACACAAACGTGCTTTGCAGTGTCAATGCTCGACCAGTGACTTGACTTCGTCAAATGAGAAGCTGCTGTCCCTAGAGGTTCTCAGATTTCATTGTTTGTGAGAACTGAGATTATGCTTCCTTTCCAGTATCCAGTAGGCCAAGTTACCAAAATGTGTAGTCCTGCAATGTACGTGTATACATACATGCACAGTACATGCATGTAGGATGAAAGTTTGAAGCAAGTTTGAGTGATGACCCTTCAACCGTCTTGAACCAGGTCGTGGGAACTGCTTGTAGGAGAGGTTAGCGGTGGCAGTTTTTGTTATAACAGTACTTACAGAGGGGCCCACCAACAGGAAAATAATTGTACAAGATGGCAGGAGCCATGAACGAACAAGAGAAACTAAATGACAACATGAGAGTGACACTGGGGCAGAACGGTTCAAATAGGGCCGTTAGAACGGGAGTGTGCTGCACAAGCGCACTGCAAAGAAGCAACTGACCGGTGGTTGGACTGAGCATGTAGTTAACACTCAGACTTGCCCTCAGTTGACCGATGCATCAGAAGTCAAGACAAAAGCCCATCTTTGACTTTCAATCCACAGATGATGCCAGCACTCAGACTGACCCGTCGGATCTTTTCACCTGGGGTTTTAGCAAAGCATTTCCACGGCGCTGGCACTGACAAGAACGGATTAGATGTTGGGTCAATGACAGCCAACAGAGCTTCAGAGACTGACTCACTTCCCGAGGGAATGCAAGCTGCTTTGACAGAAATAATGCAAAAGAATGAGGATAATATGACGTCAGCGTGGGCAGAATATCGCCATTATCTCCTTCGGTTTGAATTTCAGTGGCAAGGATGTCATCACAGCAGGCTAAGCTTCAACAAATCTCGGCGGACTGTCGAGGAAGGAAACAAGTTACCATGTACATGTAGTTATAATTCTCTGGAAAGGTTCCCTCTTTTTTTGAAGAGTGAAATTCGGTTACAGGTGCACATGTAGAAGAAATATAAAACAGTGAAAACTTGAATCAACTAAAATGGACCATGAAAACTTCTGCAAAATTATCCGGTAGTATGTACTTTCTGTGATATTAAGAATGACGGGACCTCACGCAATTCCTCTCGGCAGAGGGCAACTTGCCCGGCTTGCCGGCCTCAAGCTTTCCCTTGAAGGGTGTAATCAAAGACTTTTCCTCATATCTGAGTCCCTGGAGGGGACTGGTTGTGAGCGGCTTTTTTCCGGAAAAAGGGTCAATATTTGTCCAGCGTTCTCCTCTGTCAAGTCCCCAGGTGTTCTCATTGAGAAATATGAATCTTAAGGGATGTCGATGAGAGCTCCCTGCTACCCAAAAGAGAGCTTGTCGCTGGATTATGACAGCCAGTCAAGGAAATACGAAGAGGTAGAAAGTTGACTGCCTTGAAAAGTGCCATGAATGGCAAGTTAAATGCACCGGTGCGAGTAATGGGTGGGCATTCGTCGTGTTAAAAGAGGACAAATTCTTGGGTTTGGCATATGGACTGCGTTGTGGGGACATTTTTGTGTCCCGGTAACATTTTTGGTCCCCACAAATACACGGTAGGTGAAATATAGAGTGTATGGCCCCACAACTACAGAACAGGTGTATATACCGACATATATATGTACCACTATGAGTGGACACGTAGTTCTATCCTGGAGCTTTTTGAAAGTACATGTCGTGCCTAGGAGTTTCCCCCTCCACCCCACTCTGGCATGGCAACATCAGACATATACCGGTATGTACACAGGCTGTCACAGGCTACATCAAACATACTTCAGACTAGAGAGGGACCTGATGCCAAGAACATTATCCAGAACATTTCAGGAAAGTTTTGCTGGTTTCTTATGAACTCTCAAGCAGGAGGAGGCAGCCTTGCCAATGAGTTCCTCCCCTACCCTTCTCTGACATCCCCCACAACACCAGACATACAATGCACAGGTTACATCAGACATACGCTGTGCATATGCATCTACTGTTCACAACGAGCAGAAGCTAGGCAGTTGAAGGACGGAGCAACTCAAAAACTTTGGCTTCCTTTTACAGGCTTTGCTGCTGTATTGACCTATGTGTACTCCTTACATGTACATAAGTTGACTTCATTACATGTATGTCACAAAGAGGAATCTCCAAAGTCAGAGGCTGTAAAATCACAAAGCTGGAGCCTGGGGCTGCACAGAAAGCCTTGCTTTGGAAAACCTCTGATGTCTGGCTATGACAATGTCCACTGCATGTACATATCCACTGTATGTACATGTACATACCATATCTCTTAGAATTTCAGAGCATCCCTTGAAAGCACAGTGCAAACATGAAGAGCTGCATGCAATTAAAGTTATGCACATCTGCATTGTGCAAATGCAAACAGGCTGCTGATTTAATTTCCTTAAGCGAGCTTAAAGCACGCTAGTGACGAGTTCCAATCAAGATTCATCAATACCCCAACACAATTGCCTGTGTGTTCGGACAACGTTTGACAACTGATGGGCCCCTTTTTATTTATTGAAATCCTCTACAATCACTGCCTCCCATTCGGCCCCCTGATGCCCGTCCCTGACGTCGGCACCCTTTCCCCCAAATTTGATTTTCACACATTATTGCTAGACGGCCAGCCCAATAAAATCCATACCCATTAGGCTTAAGACAAGGAGCCGATAGTGTGCAAAAGCACCGCCGCCATAGCGAGTGCGGTGTTGCCCTGCCAACAGAGCCCGAGCCTGGAAATGGAACACGGCAAAAATTGAAGGATGTGCCCTGTCCCCCGACTGGAGCCACAGTGCGAGGAGACTCGCGCAAAATCCGATCCCGTAAACTATTGACTCTCGGAAACACGATCGGAATGAACTTCTTTTCTTCCACGGTCCAAGTATGGTTTCTTTTATTGACAGGGGATTTCATGAGTCGAATATGGGAGCACGACCGAAAGAGGGGGGGAGAATGGAATACAGACAGTGTCAGCAATACAGACGGTGACAAAATAATGCACTCAAAGTTAATTATTTTTGGAAAGGGGCGACGAATCGTGGCAACTGCCGTGGCAATGTGGAAGTGTGTCGCTGCAAACAGTGGCGGGATCGCGGATACATACATGTACATTTCGTGCCTGATTGCTACTAGGAGTTTGCTTTGCTGGCCTTAATCAAGCCACTGACAAATTAAAGCATAAGCACGGGTATCTTCGTTCCCAACTGACTTTTTTTTTCTGACCAAAGCAGTAACAGCTTCGGAAAAATGCAGGCAGTTCCACAGTTCTTGTAAACAATTTCACAGTGAAAGGGTGCAACATTCTCTAGGGTGAGTGATCAATAACATCTGTTCCTGTGGACAGTGACAAGAGCCTTTGATTTGACATTTCTCCAAAGCTGGAACAGCAAACTTGGGAAATATTGCGCTGTCTGTAAAATTCTCCCAAATTAAACACCTGTCATACAAGGGCAGATCCAGAACCAAGTTTCAAGAAGTCAAACTCACTGAGAGGGGAGACCAAAAATTACTTTTATGGCCTTTCTGAGGAGTGAGCCAAATTGGGGTGGGGTTTACACACTTTGGGAGAGGAGGAAAGGTTAATACGGCAGTCTTCCCTTAGAAAATCCTGTTCTCATTTTTCAAAAACAAATTTTTTGTTTCTTTAAAGGGGGCATGGTCCCAGTTGCATCCCCCCCCAGATCCGGCAGTGATGCCTGACCTACATGTAACAGCAGCAACAGAAAAATGCAGCAAATCACATATCCCCCCCCAAAAAAAGCCACGTCAATCGTGCAATCAGAGTAGACATTAAGTTTTATATACATGTGCCTGATGCTGATCCATGAGGAACCTTCAACATTGGAAAACAAAAGGGCAACAGATCTACTGTAGTTGGAGAGACCGTGTTGTGACTGCCTAAGTATAAAATGGTCATGAATAAATTCTATACAGAAATCCCTTGACCCAGAACCGCAGCAGCAGGTGCATCTAATCTGAATAATTCACAACGTTGCCATCTTCAGTGACATGACTGATGCGGTCATTGCTGATATGAGGGGCCATTTCTCCTGTTCCCCAAGGGAGGCACAGACCCCTGCACCTGTGCGGCTGCTATCTCGAACCTCCGCGGGTCCTTGACTGGATGCAAGAGATGGCCTCTTCATCTCGGGCTGGATTAGCAGGCTCTATCACTCCTTGATCCTGACGCACTGTTTCCTAATGACAAAACCATCCGTTTGGAGAATCTAGGGAGTTTATGTACTTGCCAGTTTCATGTTTATATATATAGCAAACCAAGAAAAATGTACAGTTGACTGGCTGTTGGGGCAAGCTTCACTAGCAATATGGGCGATTCACAAAAGTGCACCACCAAGAGTTTGCAACACTTTGGCCAATCACAATGCGCGAAATCTGTCGACCCAATGCACGTTCAGAAAGGGTCGACAAATTTTACGCGTTGTGATTGGCCAACACGTTGCAGACCCTTGCAGAATCACCCGTATTGGCAAAAAGTGAGGAATGGGAAAGTGTCCGTAGCTGTTAATTCAGTAGACATTAACTACAGGTTTGTGATTTACGCAAAAGGTATACCATGAAGGTACTGTACACGCACATGCCAAACACTGGTCTCGTGCTATTTTTCTTTTCCCTATTCACCGGCACTTGGCAAGTACTGATTAAAAATTCATTTTCAGCTTTTTCAAGTCGTCATGGCAATGTAATTGTTGCCATCTACCTGACTGTGAAACTAGTTCAATATGCACCTGGGGTGATAT